ATCTCCAGCAGCCCGCTTGCTTCCAGCCCCTGACATAGTGGCTTTCGGCAGTGGGCCTGAACCCAGGAATCAGGCAGTTAGCCAAAGAGGCAGCTGTTCAGCTAAAAAATAGAAAAAGTTGAAATTACTCCAAAGCAAGACTAGAGTGCTATTTAATGCATAAAATGTCTAAAGGCCCTCCTCATTTAATTTTGAATTTTAAATATTTTATTGTTTTAATCTTACCTTGTATTATAATATTTAGACAGTTTTTATGTTGCTATGTATTACTGGCCTAAAACTGCTATGTATTACTGGCCTAAAACTGGCCAGAAGAGGGATTTAAAAAGCCCGACCACAAGGCTTTTGATGGAGAACATGAACAAAAACAGGGATTGTAGCAACATATTTTATTTTAAGAATCGAATTGGGCAACCAATTTGCAAAAGTGCAACTCTAGGCAGCGTACATCAATAAAAATAGAATTTCAAAGTCCTTAATAACAAAACAACCCAAAATCAATAAGAACAAAATAACACTGTTGGGGTCCATCAACACATCTCACATTCTGGTCCCACCAGTCAGGTTTTTCAAAGCCTTTCTCTGAAGCCTATCAGGGTTGGGACCAGTCAAATTTCATGGGTGGGGGGAGCATTTCACCAGTACTAAACTGATACATTAAAAACTGCATAAAAATTAAAATTACAATAAAATTTTAAAAATGCAAGGATTTTTCAAGCACAAACCTGCTACCTCTCTCTCTCTCTCTCTCTCTCTCTATATATATATATATATATATATATATATATATGTATGTATGTATGTATGTATGTATGTATGTATGTATGTATGTGTGTGTGTGTATATATATATATATATATATAAATAAATAAATAAAACAGCTAGTAGGATGGGTGGGTGCTATTAAATACTCTAAGGATGGAGCACAAAATTGGGAATAGTGAAAAGATAAGGAATAAGGGGAACTGCCACCCTTGTAGGGGAGATGGGCAGTATATATGTATGTGTGTATGTATATGTACAAATATGTGTGTGTATGTATATGTATAAATGTGTGTATGTGTGTATGTATATATATGTATATGTAGGTATATATATGTATATATATGTGTGTGCATATGTATGTGTACATGTATGTATGTATGTATGTATACACAAATTTAAATAAACTGGAAGGCTCAGAGATGGGAAAGGGAACTTGGGCGAGAAAAAGGGAATAGGAACAGCCAAGGAGTGTCAAAATCTGGGTTGCTTAAAAAGGAAGGGGGGGACTGACTATTAGCTGCCTTTTCTCCTAACTTTTATATTTCCACCTGGAGTGACACTTCACACCCTGCTTTCCCCAAAGAAGCCCTCGTATCCGCTACAAATGGCAGTTTCAGTCATAACGTGTATTTTAAAATACGGTGCAAGAAGAAACGGTACGTTTGCAGAAAGATAGGCAAGACGGGAGACCTCAGTGAGGAGAGGGAGTAATGGAGAGGGGCGAAAGGAAAGCCTCCGGTGAGGGAGAGGCTGCCCAACCACTCACCGGCCCAGACGGGGATCCCTCTCCTCCATAGCCCTCGGCTCGGTACGACGCTGCCGACAAGCAACGCCACCGCAGCTACCGCGCATGCTCGCCCGACTCCCTTCCCGGAGGCCCAACCTCCGCCTCCGCTCTCAACGGAACTCAACGTCTTCGGCTTCGCTCTGCGCTCAGCAGAGTGCGCAGACGCGGACGCTCGCGCTAGCTAGGCGACCAACGCTCCAACTCTTCGACAACTGTGAGGAAAGTGGGCGGGATTATTATTCTGGAGTTGTTGGAAGAGGGGGACGGGGCAAGAAGGCGATTGGGTAAAGCGCGGAAGAGCTTGCGTTGTGGTCTCCTCTGATTGGAGCCTACGTTGGCGAAGATAGTGTTACCATAGCTACGCTGGCGTATTGGCTCTTTCCTTCTATTGATATTGAGATAGAGATAGAAAATATAGAGACAACCATTCTATTGGACTTTGAGAGGGAGTTAAGTTTTCCCAGCCAGGTAGCAAGAAGAAGATTTGATTATTAAGTGTTAGAGATTTATTCTACGCAGGTTAGGCAAAGAAATGGATTCTTCTTCTTGGCAACCATTCCGGATTTTTTGTTCCTTTCCTCTGTTTTGTCATTATATTCTATCTATTGGAAGTCTTCCGTTTCTTTCACCCCAATGAAAACATCTGCGATTGGCGAAGCGCTCGCTCGTTCTTAGTATACCGCGTTCTGATTGCACAGCTACCGACGGGACCCGGAAAGGCTGGAGCAGGGATTGCCATGGCAACGCGTGCTTTTCCCCACGCCTCGCCGCCCAGCTAGCCGAAATGGGGCCGGAGAGCCTCCAGCCGGTAAAACAGAAATATTAAATTAATAGTTATAAATTGCTGTCTTGGGTAAATTATTTCCTCCGCGGAGATTGTTGTGGCATTTGAGGGACAAACGAGCAAGTTCAACAGATCAAGAATCCCTAGGAAGTTTCACCTGTTGAACGTCTGCCTGCCGTGCAATCTCAAGCTCAATGGACCTCCGTCAAGGAGGAGAAAAAAACATACGCGGGAGAGAGCTACAGCTAAAAACGGCAAAGCTCGAGTCAGTTCCTTGGATGTTTAGGCTATGCTTTACTTAAATTGAATAATTGGGGTTGAAGATCATGACAAGTTGTTTTGTAGCCCTTGCTGTCATTGGGTCCCTTTTGTCTTTACGATTATCCAGTGAAGATATCCAATACAGCCAGCCCTTGACTTATGACCACAATAGTGGCCGTTTTGGTCACCACGATGTAAAAAAGATGCTGAGACTCTAGAAAGAGTGCAGAGAAGAGCAACAAAGATGATTAGGGGACTGGAGGCTAAAACATATAAGGAACGGCTGCTGGAACTGGGTATGTCTAGTTTAACGAAGAGAAGGACGAGGGGGGACATGATAGCAGTGTTCCAATATCTCAGGGGCTGCCACAAAGAAGAGGGAGTCAAGCTATTTTCCAAAGCGCCTGAAGGCAGGACAAGAAGCAATGGGTGGAAACTAACCAAAGAGAGAAGCAACCTAGAACTAAGGAGAAACTTCCTGACAGTTAGAACAATT